TTTCCTTCTTTCCTTCTTTCTTTCTTTCTTTCTTTCTTTCTTTCTCTCTCTCTCTCTCTCTCTCGTTGAAATCGCTTACTCACCAGCTGATTTACATCATCGTTCTTCTATTCCTTCTCATAGCAAATAGTTCCCTGCTTTTGCAGAGGATAGCTTAGGGGTATGGAGTGGGCTGCCACCTGTTTCCTGGAGGGTCTCTACCTATCCCACTCAGTGAAGGTGAAATTAGTTGGGTCTTTTCTGTCTTAATTAAGAGAATTACAATGTGGTCCTTCAAGGGGTTGCACCAGGAAGCACCTTTGCAGTGTAGCAACTGCTAGGTTACACATTTTGATGCTTTCTGTTGAAAGCAGATATGGATGGATGTGTGTATGTGTGTGTGTGTGTATATCTGCTTTCAACAGAAGCATCAAAATGTGTAACCTAGCAGTTACACATTATACATACATATATGTGTGTGTGTGTGAGAGAGAGAGATTTATGTAGCTGCCTATCTCCCGTAAGTGACTCTGGGCAGCTTACAAGATCAAGACAGACAAACCCACCAAAATGGTCCAATGACTCTCAGTAGGGCCACGGTAGATTCATTTGAAGGTTCAGTTCATAGATGATTGAAACAACTCCAGCAAAAGGAATCCCTGAGTCTGTCCACAGGCCCACTCACGTCTTGCCTAAAGCAGGAGGATTTTGGGTGCTCTGGAAAGCTGCTTCATTCAATCACATGGAGATGGTTCTTAGAAGCTTCAGGCAACCAGTCAAGCATAGTCAGTAGATAGCAATAGTTAAGGTAGTAAAGAGTCATTTCACGAGATGGGCGGTGACAAATGTGATGAATAAATAAATAAATAAATAAATAAAAATAAAAAATAAAGGTAGCTAGTGCTTGGAATTAGGGCAGCTCAGTCTGTAATTGCCTACCATAAGTAGTTGCATCAACCCATCCAGACTACAATGCTCAGGCAGCATGACCAAAATTAAGGTGTTTAAAGGACTTCCGTCTATTGCAGCACATGATGAAGGAAGCTGTTTTAGTAATAACATTTGGAAATTGAATTGGCTTACGGATTTTTTTTAAAAATGGGGAAATGTTCAGTGTGTTCCTGTGTTGCCTGTCTGGCTGTAAAAAGTTGTATCTGGACCAAGAACCTGAAGTTAGTGAAGTAGAATGAGGTTTATATAAATGTATAAAAAGTATATCCAAATGTTTAAACTATGCATCCGTTCGGGGACTTTGGATTAGTTGGTGATACTGTAAGGTTGTTCCTTTAACATTTTTTCAGCGAGGCAAAACAGAATAATTTATGTAAACTCAAGGTAAGACTAAAGCATGTCAGGGGCTTTGCAGTTGGAACAAATGAAGTCAACTTTCTTAATAGCGAGCTTTGGATTAAGTATGTAGCTTGAACTGACATAGAGTGCTTCTAAAATGGACTCGGGTATCTTTTATTATCAACCTGAAACTGGTATGTACAAATATAACCCAAGCGTTTCATATTTCAAACAAGGGGAGAAACAGGGCAGTGGAGGGTGGAACAGAGTGGTGAAATATGGGATCACTACACCGAACGCTGGCTTTAATTTAAATAAAAAATTGGATCAGCAAGGTAAGCACACGTGCAGTTGCTAAAAAAAATTCCAGGGAGTTAGAAATTTGTACCCAAGCTTTTATGTAGCTTTGGAGTTGACAATAGGGTCCATGTCTATGTTGAATTACTTTTGAAGAGTTCCCAAAACATTTGTGAGTAAGAAACTGATTTACCTTAAAAAAGGAAAAGAAAACTCCTGCATGCTTGTTCTCCACCCCCTCCCTGCCCAAGTAGATATTTGGATCCTGGGCTCTTTCCTGGTTTGGTTTTTTCCTCCTCTGATTCCTTGTGTTATAGTAGCCCTGATTCTTACAGAATTTAATGTGGATTAAAAGTCCAACTGTTCTCTTTTTTAATATAATGCCATCTATTGATCACAGCTATGGGAATAATTAAAAAGTTAATTAACTTTATGAGGAATTCTTGGAAACAGTAGCAATTCAGCATTATCACCAGGAAAACTTAATCGATATATTTACTCTCCTTATTATCTAATTATTTATAGTGGTCAGTATGTTAGCTTTAACGAGCATATATAAAACACCCTTGGTAAATATGTCTAAACTGAATATCCCTTCATTAAAACTTTTTCTTGGATGCATAGTTGATGTAATGAGATGGCTCAGGAAATTGAAGAAATGTACTAGTTTGGAGTTTTGGTCTTTGGGATCCACAGATCTTCAAGTGTGAGTTGCTAGTATTGGAAAGCAACATGGAAGAAGGTCAGAACATAACCTAGAAAAGTTTTCTAGTGCCAGGAGATGACTAGGTTAGATTTTTTTTTTCCAGAAATGCAAGCTTTGTTTGTACTGGGGGAGGGGAGGGGAGCCCCCAGATTTTCACATCCTATTTGTAGCCTGAAAGCTGCTGGTAATAAGATTATGGGATCTGATCTAGTCCAATCTTCTGTTCCTTGGCACAATTCCCTCTATCTTTACGTCCTAATGGAACTGGTCTTCAGTAACACCTTGCCAGTGATACTGGAGCAAATATTTATTTCGTGTTGAGTTCACCTTTCTTGCAATGCACTCAGAAGTCTTGGGTCTCTTTCCATGCGGAGGAGATGGGCTTGAACCATCGTGAGAGCTCAAATTCCCCTTGTAGATTGGAATGTGGATTATTCCGTCCAACTTGAACCACAAGAAAGCAATCTGGTTTTATGCTACATCTCCCACATTGTTTTGTATAATTTCTGACAAAAATGTGATTTAATCTATTGGAAATTATTTGTTGTTGTTGCTGTTATAAAAGGAAATCTGAGCACTGTAATAAAATAACGGGGTGCATCGTACTTGGAAGGCCTTCTCTGACAAAACTGTTTTAGTCATTGTACCAACATCTGCTGTCTGTGATTGGTTTAAAATAAACTTTTTCCAACCTTTAGTGGTACGAACGCACTAAAAGAAACAGATTTGGGGTTTAGGGCTGTGTAAAGGTTTTATGCAATTAATCAAGATGAGACATGAGACATTTCAGGTTATTTATGGGTTGTTAATTGTAGTGCACAGCACTACATTCAGAAAGAAGCTTTAATCTTTACAGATCCTCCTAGTGAGGAACCACCTAGTCACATCTGAAATAGGAGTTTGCTAAATGCGTTCTGCATTTCTACATTGCGTGTCCCATGTATTTCACACCCATGTATCAAGCCACCATTTCTGTGTGGTCAAAAGTTTTGTTTAAGGCTGTTCTCTCTCCAAACAATTTGTGTTTTTAACAACCGCACTACTACCACCGCCAAATGTTCAAGTTTCAGAAATTTCTTTAAATAACCATGGTTTCCCTACTCAGAGCCAATAAACAGCAGCTGCAAGCACAAGTTGACCGAAGTACGTTAAAGCAACTCTCTTCTGAATTAGGACTTTGTAATGTAGGCCCCAAAAATATCGGAGGTTGAGATTTGCTCCTATGACGGGGACCAGTTGTGCTGCTGAAGTAATTTCTCAACTGCTTTTGAGGCCAATGTTTTACCTGCATGTTAAGAGATAAGATGTTCTATGAAGAAGCTGGTAGTTGAATCTAAACGTTATGAAGATGAGTGGATAATTTAATTGTCAGCACGTGCACCGAGTACACACCAACTACCATATGTAATGCAATATCCCTGAGCTTTTTATGGGCACATGGCATCAGCATGTCACATATCAAGCACTTAAGGCCTGGACAGAGAGAACTTCTGCTTGTAAGCTCTCCCCCCCCCCCCCCCAGTTTCCTTTTCAGCTGCAATGAAGGGTTTTGAACACCAACACCCTGGAAACAGGATATATTTGCAAATTTTCTTAATTATGGCAGAAATGGAAGAGTAATTGTTAGCTTCTTACAATGAAGCCTGAATTCAGAATGAGAAATTGCCATGTCTGTAATAATAATATGGCAAAAATTTGGTCAGGCTCCCTTTTAGATTTGCTTACAGATCTCTGACTGGATTCCTGAATGATCCTTCACGGTGGTTGTCACTCATGTAGCAGGAGGAACAAACAGGCTCTGACCGAAGGCTGTCTTCTTCTGCTTTTCTTCTTCCTAGATCTTTGGTTGAAGAGGAAGACCCTCACATGAAAGTTACTCTGGGGAGCAGCGATATGGGCGTGTCTGCTCACCTGCAGGCATCAAAGGCTGGAACCACAAGATTCTTCACCAGCAACACTCACAGTTCTGTGGTCCTCCAGGTGAGTGAATGCCTTGAGCAGAACGGCCTGCCATGTCTTCTTTTGGAAAGCGTCCTTCGTTTCACAGGGGAGAGTTTCCTCCAAAAACTTGTTTGCTGTGGCAGTATCATTGCAGCCCAGGTCACCAGCGATTTGAAAGGAAGCACAGAACTGAGTCCCTTTCTTCGTTTCTGAGGACTTTCCTTCCCTTCCCCCTTGCTAATTAAACATTTCAGTCAGATCGGCGACACTGCCAAGGAACATGGCTTTTCCCTGTAATTGAAGGAGACTGCAGTGCGAGCTTGACATTGTCCAAACAGAGGGAAAGCCGTTGGCCTGCAAATTGTGTCTGAATGCCTTCAAGGGAATTTGTCAGGTGAAACTGCCTTTCAGTGTTAATATTTTGCTATTCCTATATTTTTTCTTCCATTGGCTTGGAGTGTGTTTCGACAGGCAATTCAGTTTCATTATCCAGCAGCATGCTGTGCAGAAGTCCAGGCACATTTTGTGAGTTTGGCTCTAGAAACCACCTTTGCTGCACCGTTTGCCCATGCTTTGCGTTTGCAGTGGCTGTGAAATGAGGCTAAACCCTATACCTGGCATTGTTTGCCACTGTTGGCTGACACGGCTTTCCTCCTGCAACGTTTTAAAGAGTAGGAAATTGTTGGATTCAGACTGCGGAACCACCACAAACCCAAAGGGTGACCTGCACAAGCCTGAGGAAGGCTTGCAGCCATGTAAAGGCCAGTGCAAAAGCTTTCCGAAGTGGATGGCCAAGCAGAGCCTGTATTCTGGGAGCTTGCTCCGGTCAGAAGCCTTTTGTTCTGTAGAGTCACATAACCCTCCTCCTCCTGCTGGCAGGAGTGGAGCAGAATTTTACAGCATTTGAGCAGTGAAGCTGAGCCTGGGGTGGTTCTGCTGAACCAAGAACAGGAGACCCAATTGTGTGGGGCTTCCTGTGGGCAAGCTTCTCCTTCAGGAGGAGGCAGGTCTTGTTTCTGAAGCTGACGTGGGGTTCTTTTTTGCAGGGTTTTGACCAGCTGCGCATAGAAGGGTTGCTTTGTGACGTGACGTTAGTGCCAGGCGACGGAGATGAAGTGTTCGCTGTCCATAGGGCAATGATGGCGTCCGCTAGTGATTACTTCAAGGCCATGTTCACAGGTACAGTTAACGGCGCTAAGGCCTGCCTCTGCCCTTGGGCTGTGTGCCACGCACAAATGATCGAGGCCAGTGGGCGGCCCCTCTCCATGTTTTCTCTTGGGGGTTCAACTAACGTTTGGTTATGAAATGCCATTCTCTCTGGTTTGGAAAAAACATTCTAGGGAGGCTCTGACTAGCTTTAACCATACCTTATCTAAATTTTGTTCCCAGGTGGGATGAAAGAACAAGATTTAATGTGCATTAAGCTCCATGGTGTGAACAAAATAGGTTTAAAGAAGATCATTGATTTTATTTATACGGCAAAACTTTCCCTCAACATGGACAACCTGCAGGATACTCTAGAAGCGGCCAGCTTTTTGCAGATATTGCCCGTGCTGGACTTCTGTAAAGTGTTTCTTATATCTGGGGTAAGAGAAACATAGGTTATCACTTAGAGAATCGCCTTTTTCGTTATCTTTGTTTTTAACTGTAGCGGGTTGATCTCGCAAAGGATTTTTCCAAAAGAGCCGGTCCATGTTGCTTTATTAGAAGAGGAGTAGTTGTGCAAACCAGCTCCCTACAAAATATGCCTCTCATATACAAAACTAGTCCTAGATATATATGCATGCCATATCACACAATTAAATTAACACTTATGTCAATGTATTTAATGGGAAAAATGGTCAATTAACTATATAAACTGTTCTGGAATAGTCCTGCAAATAGGACTCCTGGAGGTAGAACAATTTATTGAAATATAAGAGGAGTTGATCTGCCAAGTGGGAGGTTCTCGGTTATGAGAGATCAGAAGGTGCACATTGTAAATTGCTTTTGACTGCAAAGGAGGGTTATTTTCAGTTTCTGTGTATAATAGCTGGGTTCTTCAGGACAAGGTACTATGCAAGGTTCATTTGCAGCATGGTTTGGATAACAGCATAAGATGGAAATAGGGGTATGTATTTTGATGGATGCTCAAGGATTAGAGTTGTGTTTGAAAAGACAGAAATGTCTAGAGCATTCAGCAACTTGCATGTACTGTAAATAGAACGAAAAAAACTAATAGGACCTCCAATGTGAGCTTCTCAGAAACCGGTGGATTTTAAAACATGTACTGTCAAAGTTACAAGTGATGAAAATACAAGCCATTCATGGCAGTGATGGAGGGGGAAAAAGAGAGTTTCTAAACATTGTTGGATTTCCAACTTCCGTCAGTTTTAGCTACCATGGCCAACAGCTGGGGAAGATGGGACCGAACCATTAGCTGTGGAGGGGAACAGGTTCCCCACGCCTTTCCTAATGAACATGTCAGTTTTCTTTCTGAGGTATGTGATCCTAGAGTCTGTGTTTAAGTCCCCAAATGTCCTAGTCAAATGTTAGTACTATATAGAGTAAGAAAATTCAGGTCTTGAAAGTAGTCTAGGATGTCTGAATTATGGACATCTGAACATGGGGGTCCAGGGGAGACTCAAGAAGCAAAGGAAGATCCATATATTTTATCCCTGGATTTAGCAACAGGGCTGCAGCATTAGCAGTATGTTGGTTCTGCTGGCAAACCTATTAACTGCTGGTGTCTTGTAAATCATCTCCTTTTTCATTTCGGCTACTGCTGCTTCAGTTTCCTGCCTTCAGCTGTGGTACTTGGGGTTGATGTCATCATCAGTTGCTTCTACCTCTTGCTTTTCAATTTTAGCTGCATCTGATGCTTCCTGCCACCCCTTCACTGTCTTTCTAAATGCTGCAACTGAGAATTTTCAGCCACTTTTCAAGAAAACCCTATTTAGGTTTTCTAGCTTTTTTTCTCCTGCATTTTCAGTATTGAGAATGAAAATCTTAAAAGAGTCTGCTGCCTTGCTGCAATCCACCTCAAATGTGTGGATCTTCAGTGTATTCCAGTATCCACTTCCTTGTGGAAATTGGTGACTTTTGCAGTCTCACTGATGCAACAGGCAAGAGAAGGCTGGTCCTCTCCCTGGAGAAAGGCACATGCAAAACTTGGAGTTTGCACCAATTTTTCCAGTCTGTTGTAGCTACCAACACCTGCTGTTCAATGCGCAAATAATCGCTGACGGAATGAAAGCCTCGCACACTGTTGCTACTCCTGCTGTCCAACTGGGGAAATGAGTGTCTATAAAGCTTGTGGGGACAGGGGAATACAGCAAAGAAAGAGAGGGAAGGAAGAAGACGACAACAAAGGGATGGGGATGACAAATGACAATGATGACCAGTGGTGAAGCACTAAATACAGTACCACATCAGAGGGATGCAGAAGAAGGACAGTGGCTGGGGAGAAATATAGGAAGATGATTTAGAAAGATAAACGTAGAGCACTGTGGTGGCACAGCCAGTGCTTGATGGTGGCCTCTTTAAAGGAAGTTGTGGAGTGATGCAGTTTTTTTGCCACACTTCTCCTGCAGCCAGTTGGGGCATCTAATCACTGGCCAGACATGTCCAAGGTTCCAATATGATCTGCTGTAGTTTTGTCCAATGTCAAGGTTTTTTTGCAAAGAATTTTATTGACTTCTGCAACGCATGTATGTTTCTTGGTATTATTAAAAAACCAATGTTAATTTTTTTGGATGTTTTTGGAAGACCACCATCTGGCTATCAAGATTATATCTTTTTATTCAATGTAATGTGATTAGTAAATAATCCCATAGTTAATTCTACAACAGAGAGAGAGAGAATAATGCTGCGGCTGTAACCTGAGCAGTTATTTAGAAGCCTATCCTGTAGAAAAGAGGGACTTCTAACCAAACATGTTTGGGACTGAGGTGCAGGGTAGGCTCAAGGATTTCATAAAAGAGTTTACATCTGTCATATAAAACCATGTAGCCAGCCTATTTATAAGATAGTAAATGTGTCAACCAGACTTCTCAAACAGATGCCTTGGACATGCCTTGGATTACACTTCTAGCAGGGCCTGTGGACAAACCATTTGAAGACATTTTTGTCTGTTTTACTGTTTCTTTTTGGAATGCTGTGACTTGGAACAAGAAAGTTGATAGTGTGGTCTAAGAAGAAACATGGCCTAAAATAATTCTCTATGCTGTTGCATGCTCTGTAGGATTCAGTTCAGTTGGTATATCAAACAAAATGGAGCGTAAGAAAACAAATTTATTGTTTTGAGATAAATCACCTGGGATGCTTCTGAGACAGGAGTTGAATCGCTTGAAAGGACGCTGAGACCAATCACAGGGTTTTAACAACAATTTGTTTTTCAGTATCAAGCAGGGATTAGATAAAAGTTGTATGTGCAGTCAGATTGCTCCATTCCCAACTTGCTCTGGGACCAACATCTGAGCCAACAGCTTCTTCTGGCTCAGTGGTGCTGCAGTCCCAAGAGCTGAATAAAGCTTCTGGATGAGGAAGAGGAATTCTAGCAGCAGAGAAGTGGTGAGCCAGTCATGGAGATTAGTCTCTTCTGATTTATGCAGGGCCATCAAAGCTACATGGCAGTAGAAGGATGTTTCTAAAAGTCAAACACAGATTCAGGGCTCTGCCTTAGGAGAACAGAAGAAGACAGGCTGAACACAAGGGTACCTAAAGTGATTCCTCTCTAAGGGCACCCAAGTGCTGAGCCCTCCCCAGTGGCAGTCTCCTTGAAGCCTCTCTTCAAAATCTGCTTTGTTTTGCTCTTGCACTCTTCAGTCTAAAGCAGTGTTGCTGAACCTTTGCAGCTTTAAGATGCGTGGACTTCAACTCCCAGAATTCCCCAGCCAGCATTGCTGGCAAGGCGAAGGCCATGCATCTTAAAGCTGCCAAGATTGAGAAACCCCTGGTGTAAAGGCTTATTGGGGGTGGTAGTATTAATCACCGTATGATAAGCCCCTCCTTGCTAATATGTCTTCTCTTGTCTTCATAGGTGTCCTTGGAGAACTGCGTAGAAGTGGGGCGGATTGCCAATACATACAACCTCACCGAAGTGGATAAATATGTGAACAATTTCATTCTCAAGAACTTCCCAGCCCTGTTAAGTACCGGGGAGTTTGTGAAGCTCCCCTTTGAGCGCCTTGCCTTTGTTCTTTCAAGTAACAGCCTTAAGCACTGTACCGAGTTGGAACTCTTCAAGGCCGCCTGCCGATGGCTGCGGTATGAGGAGCCACGTATGGAATGCGCCGCGAAGCTCATGAAAAACATCCGTTTCCCTCTGATGACGCCACAGGATCTAATCAACTACGTCCAGACCGTGGATTTCATGAGAACTGATAATACTTGCGTCAACTTGCTTTTGGAGGCCAGTAACTATCAAATGATGCCCTACATGCAGCCAGTGATGCAGTCGGAGAGGACGGCCATCCGTTCAGACAGCACCCACCTGGTGACATTGGGAGGAGTCCTCCGGCAGCAGCTGGTAGTGAGTAAGGAACTGCGGATGTATGATGAGAAAGCACATGAGTGGAGGTCTCTGGCCCCCATGGATGCACCCCGATACCAGCACGGCATCGCTGTAATTGGGAACTTCCTATATGTTGTTGGTGGGCAGAGCAATTATGACACAAAAGGAAAGACAGCTGTTGACACAGTTTTCAGATTTGATCCTCGTTATAATAAGTGGATGCAAGTGGCTTCTTTAAATGAAAAGAGAACCTTCTTCCACCTAAGTGCCCTCAAAGGACATTTGTATGCAGTTGGTGGTCGAAATGCAGCTGGAGAATTAGGTAAGTTCCATCTCATGCAGAAAAGCTTAATAGGTTGCTAATCACAATGTCATGATTCATTGTCAAATGGTTTTCTGGAATCAAGATATATTATGCAAGAACATTCCCACAATCTATGAAAGAATTAGTCTGGGTATGACTTGCTCTTGATAAATCCATGGGGATGTAGTAACAATGGTATTGTATACTAACCTGTATAATATTTTTAAAAGGAGTGTTTGGAAATAATAACTGTGCAGCTGTATATTATTATGATAATGCAGAGTTTAATTAATCTTCCCACATGTCAAGGAGAACAATGAATGCTCAGAAGGTCCCGTTTCTTCTGAACCAATGAAATCGGTATCGATTTTATGCAGGTACCACTGATCTGAGTTTATTTTAAACTTCTTTTGTGTGAAGAAATAACTGTTAGTGGCTGGCTCTCAAGTAGTCTGATCTTGAGTACAGGATCACCTCCTGGTCCCCCTTGTGAGCCAGATAGTGAATAGAGCAAGTGTGAAAAATGTCCCCGTGTGTGTTTTCCGCACAGCTCGTGGAAGGGATAGGACCATCTCCATGACATCTTGCAGTCTGTTAAAAGTCCTCGTTCTGGTAATTTAGAATCTCCCTCTTTAATAAGCACAGAATGCAGGCAGCCATGTTCAGGCGAGCACCTCCTTTCCTACGTGACAGTCCTCCTCTGATTTCTTCCTACTTGATACGCCCTGTCACTTTTTAATTCTTGTCTTCAGCAGTTACCTTGAACATTCTGTGGGCTGTTAAATAGTTGCATTGATTTCCATAATGAGCTCAATCCATTTGTATGATAGTCTGTGTCTGGCTGGCTGTACTGTTGATTCTAAGATTGAAATATTCTCTCTTCTTTTTCATTAACTGCATGGCAAGTAATTTTTTCACTTTTACTGCAGCTTTCAAGGATTTTTTTTGCAGCAGAAGGTGGAAGAACCCTTGTAACTTTTCCTTTTTTACTGCGAAACAAAGGGCTAGGAAGAAAGAAAAATGAATAACGTTTATTAATTATTAATAATGTTTAGATTGCAGGGAATCGGATTTAGCATTCTTGGTATAAAAACATATGAAACAAATACCCGTGTGGCTCCCTGACCTTACTAGGCTGCAACACAGAATTTTGCAAGAAACATTTTAGATTGTCTTCTGTCGTTGAAAGCGAGTGGGCCCTTTATCACTGCTGCTTTGCAAGTATTATTTGCTTAAAATTGGAATAATGTGAAGAAACATGGATGTAGCAGTTCAACCTCTGGCAGACAGATTCTACAAAAGTTGATGTTTCAGAAATTCATAAAGGCAGGAATTATTAACTGTAAATCTACTAAAAACTCAGTCTAGGAAGAGATGAAGCAGAAATGAAATTCTCAAGTTTGCGAGTATCCAAAGAGCACAAACAGATTATTTACTGTTGCCCAGTAGATCTTGTTTTAACATGGAAAAATCTCAGTGCCATAAAAAAAATGATGTAGAAAACACTAGTAACAAGCCTTGTGCTTATAAAGATCTGCCTGACCTATGGAATATGGAGACAGTCTTGCTATAGTTGTGGTTTCCTCTACTAGGGGTTGGACTAGATGATGACAAGATCTTTTCTAATGCTTACACTCTAATTGTGTATGATAACATACTGACATGATCATTCCTAGATACTTACTTGCTTTGCACAGAACTAGTGAACTCTTGGCTTATTAGGGAGCTGAGAGCAATAAAGTGGATGAGTTGTCACCCGAGGGGGGTGTGGGGGGGCTCTCAGAATGCCCCCCCAGAAGCACATGGAAGTCTTCATCTGAAACAATGGAGCAGTGAAAAGGGTTTCATTCTCGGCCACTGAGAAATCCATCCAATTTTTGGCTAGTTTCAAACATAACCTCTGCTGAGAAGGGCGGTCAGAAGTAGAGTGCCTTACAACTCCGGACACAGTTTGGTGCTCCTGATTATATGAACCCATCTCAATTTAGACTTTGGGATAGGATCATATGGCGTAGCCTTGGGGTATGACCTGTACCAGAGACTGAATGGGGAAACTGAGGCCTTGCTAGAGTTCCTTGGCCTTTCAGCAGCTTCAGTACCATTGATCATGGTATTCTTCTGGATCATCTGACAAGACTGGGACTTGGTGATATTGTTTGGCAATTGTTTTGGTTCCTCCTCTCAAGCTGTGTCCAGAAGGTGGTACTGGGGGCTACTGTTAATTCCTAGGCTGTTGATCTGTGGTATTCCACAGGGATGTGACTTGTCCTCTGTGCTTTTGTATATCTAGATAAAACCCCTGAGGGCAATCATGGGAAACTTTTGTTTCGGTTGCTCTCAGTATGTTGATATCACCCAGCTCTGCTGCAGTCTGGGAGGGCTTTTTGATTCTCAGCTGTCCCTGGATTTCCTGAGCTCATTGGATTTGGTGACAATTCTCCATACCACAGTTGCATCATGCTGTATATGGGGCCACCCCTGAAAATTATTCAGATATGGTAGCTAGGGTGCTAACTGGTATGGGGCACAGAGACTACTTGTTGCCTGTAGGAAAGACCTACACTAACTGCTTTTGGTTTACTTGGCACCGGTTGCTGGAATCGGCTTGGGCTTGACTGTCTGAGGAACTGGCTCTGTGCAAACCTCTCTGGCCATTAAGATCCGCAGAAGAGACACTGCTGTGGATGCTCCTGCTGTCAGAAGCTCACTCATGTGGCATGTGGGAAAAAACCCTCCTAATTGTGGCTGCCTGTCGGTTGAAATCTAATAAACAGAATATAAGAGGGGCTAATGAAAGCAAACACAGTAGCAGCTAATTCTTCCCTGTTTAAAGGGTGGAACATGTCTTTCTCTGTTTGCCAAGATGTGTTTTCTTTGGAAGTAGACAGCGTGCAGCTTCCTTCCTCTCTGCAGTCCCAGTTAGAAAATTTACAGCTGATATTCTTTTATATTTCCAGAAGCCCAAGCTTAATTGAGATTTTAACTGCGCGTCCCGTCCTTCCCCATCCCATGAGCTTGGCGTTGTGTGTATATTTTCATATTTTTTATTTTTAGAAGCTTGGAAGGAGTGAAGTCATGGCGGTCCGACTGCAGCAGAGCAGGGCCTCAGGCCAGCTGTGGCATCTAGTGGATGCTGTTGTGCTGGTGGGGGAACAGGCCACAGTGGGTGAAGGAGTATTGCCAAGCATCCTGGCTGCCCTTGGTAGTTTGGGGAAACCATTAAAAGAACACTTGTGGGACTTGGAAGCCTGCCTCTGCTCCTAAGAGTAGAAAGCCTACTTATACTTCAAATAATGGCCTGGTTCAACTCTGGTGGCCAGGTCACCTTGAACCGTAAATGGAGGGATGGTAGGGGAGGTATGCGTGAATACCTCGTCCCTCCTATAAAACCTCCGCTGTTAGAACAGCTGCATGCTAAGTGCTCACTTGGAATCTTTCTAAAGTCCTTTTTTGAGATGTGAGGTTTATTTTAATACTGGCTAATGTTTAATATAGTAGAGTCTTTGTATTTTTCTGCTATGAAATGCAACAAATGTGGGGTCTTTTACTCCGCACCTGAATATCCTTGCTTGGCCCATGCTGTGTGCAAAGATTAATACAGTTGCACACTTACATCTTTTAAAGCTTTAATTGTTGCTAGCTATCACATGTGTGTATCTGAAAAAGAAAGCAAGGAAGAAGGTAATAGGCAGAGGTGTCTGCAGTGTGTGTGTGTGTGTGTGTGTGTGTGTAAAAAGAGCAACTTATGTTTAAAAAGGAGTGGAGTTTTGATCACTCAGTCACAGCTGCCATCTTGACTGTTTTGACATACATGCCCCCCCCGATCATATGGCCTGTCCATACGCATGTGCTTTCTTTAAAAAGAAGCCAATGTAAAAAAGTTTTCTGCATGTCCGTTTTCACATCAGCGGACTGAAAATAGAACAGGCACCCCTTTCAGGAACATGATAGTGGCAGCGAGAGAGGCTGTTTCCGATGCTGATGGTCAAACCATCTGCAGAACCGTTTTTGTTCATAGGGTTGTGGAAATAAATCCAGGAGAGCAGAGCATCATGTTCACTACCCTTTCCGAAATGATGGCAAGGAAGGTTTTGTTGCCCCAAACGAAATGGCCATGGGAACAGGAACTGCCCCCCGGATTGTTCAAATGGTCTCTTTCTTATAAGCAGCATTTATTTCTGGCCTTTGTCCCTGGGGCCAAAGTTTCAGCGCAGGGCTTGGGAATAACAGTCTTCCTTCCTCTCAGGACAGTGGCAAAGGCCATTTGTGGAATCCAGAGGTTTGAGGCACTGGACTGAAGCTGAAATGCAGTGAGTTGTCTCACGTTGTTTTCTTGCGGGTTTTTTTGGACAGCTACGGTGGAGTGTTACAATCCCAGAATGAACGAGTGGAGCTACGTGGCAAAGATGAACGAGCCCCATTATGGCCACGCTGGAACTGTGTACGGGGGGCTGATGTATATTTCAGGTGAGCGGGTCTGTAAACACGTCTGCTCCCAGCAGCATCCTTCCTCCCCTCCAAACCTCCAATTCCGGTAATCTTTCATTCTCAAACAGACCTTAGTTCTCTTTCGCTCCTGTTACTTTTGACTGTTCAGACAAGACGTGCGGTTAAACCTCCAGCTTTCCTCTTAGATACAGTTATTTCAGCTGGCAGGCTGCCTTCTGCAATAATATCCTTTAAAGACAGGTCTGTTTGTAGGGAAATCCAATTGTTCGTGTGTTTGTTTATTGTCACATTCCTAACCTGCTCACTCCTGATCAAGCCAGCCTTCACTCTGTATCTAATCCTATGAGTGTCCCTACTTTGAGAAATTGCTCCTTTTCACTGGGATAAGAGGTATCTCTGTGTAGCCTAGCAAATCCAGCAAATGCTAGGATAAATATTTGAACCTTATGCATAGAGTTGGGGATCTTTGAAATCAAATCCCACGTACACAGAGAGGCAGCGTGGAACAATGGGGAAATAGGAGCCATGGAAGCTCCCTGGGGGACTTGGGCCAGCCCCCCCCCAGCTCCAGAGCCCATGTGGCAGTGATGAAGGTGCTGGATTAGGAGCAGAGAGACCCAGATTCTAGTCCCTCCTTAGCCACAGAGCAGGGTTTCTCAGTCTTGGCAAGTTCAAGATGGGTGGATTTCAACTTCCAAAATTCCCCAGCCAGCAAAGCTACCAGTACCCCCCAGCCCAACCCACCTAACCAGCTTGTTGAAGGAAAGTTAGGCGGAGGGAGCACCGCAGACATGACCTTCAGCTCCTAGAAGTGTTAGAACCAAACAAACGGGCTATGTTTTCCTCATCAGAGAGGGAGAGCGGAGGATCTGCGGATTCCCTTTGCCTGATTTGCACCGACGGGATGTGGTTTAAAACCTGAGAACAACTGAGCAAGCAAGATGGCCATCCCCTGAACAACTGTGTTCTCCAGGGTTTGGTGGGCAGGTGGGGTGGGGTGGGGTCTGGATGCCAGGGCAACAAGTGGCCTCTCCACCTCGTTCCTTCGGCACTGCCGTGACCAAGCTCTTGGGTTGGAGCAAAACGTGTAGGGTTTGGCTGAGATCAGCCTGGAGAGTGCTTCAGCCATTCAGCTGTGGGGGCGAGGCCCTTGCACCCTGCCCTGGCACCTGGCTTTGCACGCTGATGGCCTGGTTCAGTCCCCTGCTTCTCCTGGGAAAATGATCTCAGATTGCAGCAGGTGGAGCTTCCCCAACATAGTCCTTCCAATCTATTTCACATAGTTTCTCGCTTTCAAAAAGTTCATCTTGGCTACTTCTGTTTGTGATACAGTACTTTTAAAAGAAATCTGCCCAGAACCAGTACATTTATTTGTGTGTATCATGCATGTACCTTTGTGCATTTCCCTAGAATGTGGCTTTTGTATTTGCTCACTCAAATAACACACGCACACGTGTAAGGAATACAGTAGCATTTAGAACACCTCCAATCTTGGCTTCCCAGATACTTCGAAAGGACATATTTTATTGGCTAGGATAGTTCTGCCTCATTAAAGTATCCAAAGTCTTGAAGAAGGAGGAGTTTAGGAAGCAAAGCAAAAGATGAAAATAGGCATTTGGTCCCTGGCCATAAAACAGCACAAAACTGAGGCTCAGGCCTCAATCCCGGGGTTGGGATGACACACAGATTGGAGAAGCAGCAGGCAGAGATCTGCAGACTTAAATACTTGCACTTTCACTCTGAAATGGCATGTTCAGGGCCTTACAGAGCTATGATGCTGCCCAAATGGTGCGTCATGGCCATCTTGGAACCTCTGAACAGGCACGGCCTTTGTCCGTCTTTGCCCGGGGCCTTCCCCTTGGCTTTTCACTGTTTGGCTTTTCCCCCTCCCACCAGGTGGCATCACCCATGACACTTTCCAGAAGGAGCTCATGTGCTTTGACCCCGACACGGACAAATGGACGCAGAAGGCCCCGATGACCACCGTGAGAGGCCTCCACTGCATGTGTACTGTGGGCGATAAGCTTTACGTCATCGGGGGAAACCATTTCCGCGGCACCAGCGACTACGATGACGTCCTCAGCTGCGAATATTACTCCCCGACTCTGGACCAGTGGACTCCGATTGCGGCTATGCTCCGGGGCCAGAGTGATGTTGGAGTGGCTGTTTTTGAAAATAAAATCTATGTTGTCGGAGGCTATTCGTGGAACAACCGTTGCATGGTAGAAATAGTCCAAAAGTATGACCCGGAGAAGGACGAGTGGCACAAGGTTTTTGACCTTCCAGAGTCCCTGGGGGGCATCCGGGCCTGCACGCTGACAGTCTTCCCCCCCGAGGACAATCTAGGGTCGCCTTCGCGGGAGTCGCCTCTTTCGGCGCCTTGAAAGCGATCCCCTGGGGCTCGCTGTGCCGTTCCAATCCTGCTGCGCTGCATCATGGGTCCTCTTCTTTGTCTTCAGTAGTCTCTATCAGGCTTGCCCTGAAGCCGCTGGCAAATAATGGGTGGGGTGGGGCGGGGTGGGGGGCTCAGAAGGAAGATGTGAAGCTCCATGTGCTGTTTGACCTAGAGTGTTTCTTGCAGTAGGCCTCGAACGTGCTGAACTCAATGTCTCTTGGAGCCAAATGCTTAACAAATGAGGAAAACAAGGGGACTGTCTTCTTTTTTAAAAATGCTTTAGGCGCATCAGTGTTACGTGTTGGGGGCAGCGTAACTCACACCGTAAGGTGAAGAAGAAGGTGGGGTGGATTGCAGGAACAGAGCCCTGGTTTGCTAAGCTTGGTGCTGGAGGACAGCTTCCTCATCGGAGGACGCCTCTGCCGATACAGGTTTAGCCGCCCTCCGGCCCCAGCTACCTCCCTCTTCTCATGGAGCGTTTTAGACTTCTTGGCCGGCTTGACCTGCGGCTCACGTGAAAAGACAGGAGAAACCCAGGAGTTTGGAACCAGTGAAGAAGCGCACCTCGTGGAGACCTTGGATCTGTACATCAGGGTGGGTTTCCCCTCCCCTGGCCCCCCACATTAAAAAAAATGAAGCATTAACTGAGGGTTTTCATTTCTCTCTCTCCCCCTTCTTTCCTTCTCTTTGCCCATCCTCTCTCCTCCCCCCACCCCCAGCCAGCCACCGCCTCTTCCCCCAGTTCAGCAATTTGGGGACCGGGTTGTGTTGCAACCCTGTCAGATGTCTGCACTGGATTTTAAGGAGACAAGGGCTAGAACTCTTACTTGTTAAGCCACTAAAGTTTTGACCAAACAGTTTCCTCTGGATGAAATTTAATCTGTCTTTGCCCCATTCCCCCGCCCCCCACATCCTCTTGCCTCTTACACCTCTGTATAAAATCTCAGTTAAGACGGTTATTTAGCACAAACACAGCTTGGATAGAGCTGCTTTTGCTCAGAGAATTCAGACTACCCTGTTTCTTTTGTTCAATAAAATCTTTAACTGCAATTAGCTGGGAGTTTGTTCTTTAAAGAAAGGTCTCCTTTCTCTCCTTCTGGTTCTCTCGCCTCCTGTTGCCAGGTAACACTTGTGTATGTTGTGTGGTGCGTGGGAAGCACAACCTGCTGGGACCCAGTTCTGCAGGAGTTTCCAAAATGGGAGGTTTGACCTACTTTTCTCAAAACTCCCCCGGGATGCCCAAGCAAAGCCCGTGGTGAATTCTGTCTTTGCAAGGGGCGGGCGCTGCGCAGAGTGGGGCTTTGCCAGGCTGAGCAGAAAAGGCCGGGCTTCTGCTGGTGTGGGGGGGCTTCGGTGGCAGGAAGGATTGATGCCCCGGGCTCATCCCGAACACCATATCGAGAGCTCTCATCAAAACAAAATTAAGCAGTCCCATCTTTCCGGTTTCTTTCAGACCCAGCGTTACCTCCCTTCCCAAAATACAGAAGTTGTTTTTAGGTTTGCTTCATTCAAGTGTTACTATGTCCAATATGTGCTGGCCTTATGATCCAGAAATGCCAGGCACAGAAACCCAGGGGGGCACTAATGGCAGGGGATGAACTAGTTTGCTGTGAGTCAAGAGGACCATCTCTTGGGGGCAGGGGGTGAGCTTGGTAATCTAGTCCCAAAGCCGAGTCTGGTGCGCGCTTCATTTTTTTCTTTTTTCTTTTCCAGCAAGTAGAATTTTGAGAAAATACTGCTGGAGTTCTGTGTCAGGAACTAGGACCCTGAACAGCCACAGGACAAGTCCATAGGATTTCCCCTAAAATTGGAATGGATCAATTTTATAATTTTGCACTTACTATCTAGAATGATGGCAAAAGCAAGGAACTGCGATCCTCCAGACATGCTGAAATACAATTCTTAGCAGCTCTGACTAGCCTGGCAAAGGACGCTGCAAATTCGTCAACATTGGGAATGGTTTCTAACCTGTGCGATTCATGATGGCCATCGATCCTGTCACTTGTAAGGCCAGGTTATGTGGGGATGTTCTAAACCTCCAGTCACCTGTATGCAGTTGGAAGGCTCTGCTTTTTGCAAATGTTTAGATCCACTGCCTGCTTTCTAGTCCTTGGTATGAGTTTGGGGGCAGGCTGCTTTCTCTTTCCAACCTCTGCTCTGCTGCCTCTTTCTCATGCGCTCATTCCTTGCATACTCAGCTGCTCGGGAAGGGTTCTGTGTTGAGAAAAGGGGCTTCTACGGTCCTTATATATTTAAGCTCTTCCAGTTGCAGCTGTTTCACTGATGGCGCTGAGCACAGCTGCAGGAAGCTGCTTGGCCAGCTGTCGACACCTGATCTCTTGGAACTCTGCAGGATATTGCAGGGGAGGGTCTGCGGGTCTCCCTTGTATTTGGTCTGATTCAATACGTTCACGTCTTCCATCAGTATTGTACCACAATCCCAGGATTGTATTTACTTTACAAATTGGGCTTACCAAAAATTCCTCCCTGAAGCATATCTGAAATGTCAAGACAGCGTTCTTCTGAGTGCTAAACATTCTTCATCCAAGCTGAACATCGTCAAAGAGAAATTTGCCTCTTATTCGCTAGCCGTGGACCTGCATGGCAGTGCCGCGAAGGGGATGATTGTATGGGGACACGTGCGGATTACCCTGCACTAGCAACGGGTTGGTTTGGGGCATTCATGCAGCTTAACTTTCTACCTTTTGCCTGCCAGCTTCCCAGAATAATTTGCACAAGAGTGTCCTGATGTTACTATTTCATGTGGAGAATGTAATTGTGGCTGTATCCAAGTTCACCATGTTGTTGGTGTACAGACTGTTCATTTCATTGCACACTGTTCTGTGCCCCCCAAAAGCTTTGACCTCTTCCTCAGTTGTTCAGTGGAGCTCACAGCAGACCTTAAGCCTTCAGTGCAGCATCTTGCTGTCTCAGCCATGGGTTTTCCCACAGCAGCTTGGCAGTTCTTCCCAGCTTGTATTTTGCAGAAATGGGGATTCACCTTTCTCCCCCCACTGATCCTTGCTGAATCTCTTAGAAAGCTGCTTTTATCAAGAGAAACAAGAAGAAGCTTATCCTGTGTCACCCTTGCATTATATGACTCCCTGAAAGGTCGGAGGCCCAGCAGTGGGAAATAGCCTTTAAAAAAAGCGTGCCCACCAGTTCCAGATCAGGAGATGATGCTGATCTCAAGCAGAAACTCAGTGTGCACAGAAAGACAGATGGGGCTAGGAGTTGAGTCTTCAGAACTGGAGTTTGATCAAGGTGACTCCTCTTCATTTAAAAGCAAATGGGGCTGTTGCACAGGCCACGTGGCCCTGCCAACGTATTCTGCCACCTTCCGTGCCAGCTGCAGCTTGAAATGAACCAAGGTAGAGCCAGTCCTGTATCCTGGAAGCCCTCATCTGCCCCCTTTCCCCCCCTCTTTGCTGACCGTCATTTTTGCCCGTGAGTCTTCAGAAAAGGGGAATCTTCTGAAGCAGCCGCTCTAAGCTAATCTTGGCTTCCGTGGATGGGTTGCAGGTTTCAGACAGGATCTGGGTTTGGGCCTTTGGTCATCACTGCTCTGTAACAAGCACCTTCATTGTGTCGTGTTGGGCAGGCCCTTCCGTTCAATGGTGGTAGAATTGCTGGCAGTGTTGCTGCAACAGCAGTGGCTTCAGCCTTTCAGCTGTGAGTGAGTAGCAGTGCTCTGAATTATGTGCCTAACAGGGCGAGGCTGCTGTTTTCTCATCCCCTGAAATCCTAAATCCATGGTTGGCTGGGGAATTCTGGGAGTTGAAGTCCATATATCTTCAAGTTGACAAGGTTGAGAAACACTGTCCTGGACTATAAAAATGTTTCAGCCCCTTTTGCCTAGGTAGCAGTTCCCGCATATCTCCATCCAGGTCCACTTCCTGACCCTCCACATAGGTCTGCACTAGGGCTCAGAACAGTTCAGCTGGTGGCCATCTTTTATTCTTTTACAAAATGTAAGTTTATTATATGGCTTGTGGGTGCCCCTTATCAATGGCTTCAACGGAAGCCATGCTTTGGAATAATTCCCAAGGCTCTTTCAGCTGAGATGTCAATCTCTGTACACATCTATCTGTCTTCCCTTTCTCTACCTGTTGCACAAGGGAGTAGGTGGTGTTCCTACTAGTAGTACTCAACAGTTGATGTGAGGTCCAGCCCATCCATCCTGCCCTCCCTGCCAAGTGGCTGGTCTTGACCAAGCGTTTTACTCTTGAGCCAGACTGTGAGAAACTGACCAGTTAAGAGGAATCAAAGTCTGTGTGCTTTGGAAAAGCTAAGGCTTTAAGCAGCCCTACTGTGCATCAACATCAGAAGAGAAGCCATTTTGCACAGGACAGCACGGGGGCAATGGGGGGGGGCACCACTTCAACTTCCTTGCCCTTACAGTGGTCTTCTGCAACAGCACTATAATGTACAGCTTGGAGTGCGAGGGTGTAATCCTTGTGGTGGGGGAAGAGTCCTCCCCAGGGCTTCTTCACAAGCAGAAACAGGGCTCCCTTTGCCACTGGGCAGGGGGAGTCTGTTGGCTCAGCTGTTGATGTGGGGGCTACAGAGAGGCCCTTGGAAATAAAAGTCTCTTGGGAACAGAAGTCTCTTTTCTAGGCAACTCGCCCGGTCTCCTTTAATGGACTTACTGGCTTCCAGCCCCGAAACCAGATTCCCAGCCCTGGAATCAAGGCCCGCATGGCTTCAGGTCAAGCTGATTGAAGTTCTGTGAGTAATTAATGTGATTAAAAATTTAAAACCTGGAAAGCATGGCCTGGTTGGCTAAAGGCTTGGGGACAGCACTGAGCCAAAGCAGAATTCTGCTATCAGATAGGGGTAATAGGCCCTCCCCTTTAAAAAAAAATGGGGAGTCAGATTTTCCATTTGCAAAAGTAGCAGATCAGAGGCGGCCTCTGTTCTCAAGGAACATGCTGCTGCTTGTCCTCCCAAGCATCAATTTCAGAACTTGGTTGGTTTTGCACTGCTAATGAGTGCTGCAGCTAATACGGAGCCTGCCATGCTTCCGTATGAAACGGTGTGGATGATCTGGGGGCCTCCAGCCGTCCAGCCCTGCCCGATCTCTGATTTCAGAAGAAACAGCTGTGGAGATCGAAGGGTTCTGCTTGTGCTCATGCAGAAGCCAGTGGTTACCTTCCCACCTGCTAAGCAAGCCATCGGAGGCCTTCCCAGCTGGGTTCAGGTAAGATGCAACATTAGCAGCTGGTTCCCTTAACCAACAAGCTGAAACACAACACCAGCCTAGAGAGGTGTGCCAGGTGTGAATCTGGCCGTGCAGACCCAAGTGACTCCTTTTTGCCCAGGGCCAACACTTGGTGGTTTTTAGCAACTGCGCTGCAGTCGAGATTTCCCACCCTGCTGTGCCAAAGCCGCCCTGCTTGGAATGCCTTGCGGATGTTAAAGCAGTGTTTCTGAACCTTGGCCACTTGAAGATGTGTGGACTTCAACTCCCAGAATTCCCCCACCACCCCCCCTTTCGGTGGGGATATGGGGGGGGGGTGAGCAAAAAACCTAAAAGTGCCACGCTTTGAAAAAAACGTGGTAATAATCAACACACAAA